CTCAACTTTTCTAATTGTGGCCACCAAATCCGCAAGCTCTTTGTGCGCGCGGCCGAGGGCTTCCGGATCATTTTGGAAAAAATCGCACGTTTCAGAGCGCCCTCTTGCACTTTGCAACATGAAAAGGGTTTGCATATTGGCTCTGAGCTCCGCGAACTCTTCACCGACCTCGTCTTCGTCCTCGGGATCATCATCTCGAAGCACAAAGTCACTCGCGCACGGCGGCTCCCATCCCTTCTTACAATGATGATCAGTCCCATCACTGCCGTCGTCCTCGCTTCCCTCCTCCGAGTCCTTGTCTTCCATAGCCCAGTTTGATGAATCACGACACCAGTCCTCGTCGTCGGGGTGCCCAGCATAAGCGAGAGCAAGATGGGTCACAAATATCCCACAGATGGGACATTTGCGGTCGCAGACAGGGACATTATAAACCGGGTGGAGGCGCCAAGAGTACGGGCTTTTGTTGATCTGACTTTCAAGAGTTCTCTCGAATTCACTTTCCATGGTGGACTTAAGGCGTGAGGTGACGGCCACCCTGATGACCGCTCTGCAGTGAGTGCACGGGATGGGGCGGGTCGGGGGCAGAAGACGGCTAGAGGAAGCTGTGGTTTGTGTGGGGAGAGGGAGAGTCCGTTTCGCGGTGGAGGGCCTCATGGTCAAACGTTAACTATATGGCCAAGATTTGGAAATGTGGCAAGCAGATCTTTAGAATTAAATAGCCAATGGATTGAGACTGGGGATGATAAGATACAAGTGCAAGGACTGAGCTGAAGACCTACGGAGACGCCGTGGCTTTGGATTTTTTCGTCTTTTTGATTGAAGCAATTAGGTCCAAGTTAGAGGATGAGTCAAGGGAAGCCTTGGATTATGAATTTGGGAATGCTTACCGCGAAGCCAAGGTGAATCTACAGCACGAAGCCACAGACACAGACGCGAAAGCAGATGGGCGACGTGACAATTGGTCACATGCGTTACTGTCAGCGTTTATTCCTCTCTCTACCATTTTGGATCTGTGGCTTCGCGCTCCCTGCTGGCTTCGCGCCGGTAGCATTGTCTCAAACTCCGTATAACGATGACGGCCCACTCGTTTGCCCGCCGTTAATCTACCTCTTCAAAGCTTCAAGTTTTGTGGAATGGGACCAAGTCGGAGCAAGTTTCGTGCTCCAGACGGTTTAAGACCAAGTCGGCTCGCCTTGGTGCGTCAGACGAAGTCGCGTTGTTGGTTGGGTGCTCGTCTAGATGGACCTTCTCCTTTTGTTTTACACTCGGTGAGTTGCCAATGTATGGGAGGTTATAATTTTTCTGATATGTACGCTCCGACTTAAGCTCGGCCTCTCATTTGAGATTTTTTACTCCCAGAAGTCACTTCAGCCCTCAGCGGATGTGGGGGCACCGTGTCGGACCACGTCTAGTGCTCCAGACGGTGCAGCACCAAGTCGGCCCACCTTGGTGCGCCAGACGACGTCGCGTTGTTGGTTGGGGATCGTCTCGCCTCTGTGAGTGCGTTTGCACTCTTTCCGTCATCGGTTTTTTCTTTCGGTGGGTTCTACTTCAATCCACACAACTGTAGTTTTACTGACTATGCGCCGATTCAAGCTTCTACAACAACGAATGTGGGACCACAAAGTCGGACCACGTCTCGTGCTCCAGACTGTTCAAGACCGAGTCGGCCCGCCTTGGTGCGCCAGACGACATCGCGTTTGTTGGTTGGGGATCGTCTCGCCTCCGTTATCCTTCTACTGTGGGTGCGTTCTCACTCTTTCTGTCCTCGACGTTTTTTCTTTCGGTGAGTTCTACTTCAATCCACACAATCGTAGTTTACTGACTACGCTCCGATTCAAGTCTTTACGACAACGGATGCGGGACCACGTTTCGTGCTCCAGACGGTCCCAGACGACGTCGCATTGTTGGTTGGAGATCGTCTCGCCTTCGTTATCGGCCTACTGTGGCTGCGTTTGCACTTTTTCTGTCATCGACGTTTTTTTTTTCTTTCGGTGGGTTCTGCTCTAATTGGCTTAGTTGATTTGCTTCATGAGAAGCGCCGTGGTTTAGCAGAAGCAGCCTCAAGGAGGCTCGGAAGTCTGTTGGCGAGAGACGAGGCGGGGTGCCGAAGTGGCGAGTACAATGTAAAATACAGATAATAAAAAGGTGCGGGAATATGCAAGTATGGGTGGGAGAGCAATAAAGACAATGCTGGCGAGACAGAGTGAGATGGATAATGAGTAAAGTAGATGTGAACATACCTGGCGAGACAGAGTGAGAAGCTGAAGAGCTAGCTCTGTCCCGCCAGGTTAAATATCTGTGTGGTGTCAAAGCATTGCGCTTGGACATTTGCTGCTGCTTGGACCTTACTTCCGGCCGCTAGGGCGAAGGTCAAAGCGCGTCATCGCGGGGATGACCGAATGGGCTTACCCGGTAAGACAATATCGCTTCCGACCCGAGGGGTGGATATTTTCCGCGTTCAACTTGCGACCTGAGAGGTGGGAACGCTCGGGTAAGTTGTGCACAGTATGCACCGAAGAGAACTCGCCTCACCAATTAGACTAGAGTAAACAATATTTTAAACCCGATCAATCCCTACGATTATTGTTTCACCTCATGCGGCAATGCCAAGACAACGTCGCGTTGTTAGCTGAGTGCTCGTGGATCGACCTTGTTTTTTTTTTCACGCTCGGTGAGTTGTACTTTAACCTGCGCGAGGTTTTCCTGCTCAGCCTCTCATTTGAGATTTTTCATTGCCGCAAATCACCGCAGCCCTCAACAGATGAGGGGACACCGAGTCCTTTCTAGACGTTCCAAGACCCAGTTGGGGTGCTCTTGCGTGCCAGAATGACGGCGCGTTCCTGCCCGTTCCCCGTCTGCACCACTTTCTGTCATCTATTTTCTTCCTGGGTGGGCTCGGCTACGGTCCGCGGAACGGCTGGCCTTCATGCTTATTTCAGCTTTAGCCTTTAGGCAACCTTTAGGCCCTCGCAGCGATATGCTTACAAAGATTTTACCATCAATTTCCTTGCTATGGTTAGTATTCTGGTCTATTTGCCAAACCCTCCCGCGGTCATCATGATCATCACGTCGCTTTCCAAGAACTGTTTGTGAATTCACTTCTGTTTTATGATCATAAGGACCATGGGACGTTTCCTTTCGCCTTACTGACCTTCACCCCTCGAAGTGATTTTTAGTCTTGAACGCCCATATTGTTGTACTCATCCACTTGTCTATTGAAATTTCGTTGAATTTGAGGATTGTCTGCGGCTTCGCGCTGCAGGGTCTGCTGGCTTCGCGCCAGTGGAACCTCTCCTGGAATACCGGACCCCTATATGCTTCGTATAACGACGACGGCCCACTCGTCTGCATGCAACATCGACATTAATATACTACTAATCTAATCGTGGCTCTCCGCCCTGAATTCATTTCTGTTCTTACTGACCTGCGATATCAGGGACACTTACACTCTGGAGTTTTGCTGTGAATATTTTGTTGATGCGGGGCCACCAAGTCGGACCACGTTTCGTGCTCCAGACGGTTCAAGACCAAGTTGGCCCACCCTGGTGCGCCAGACGACGTCGCGTTGTTGGTTGACCTTTCTGTCAACGAGGCTTTGCTTCCGGCTAGTTCTACTTCAGTCCAAGCTTTCGTGACCGTTTTTTCTCCATCGCCAGTCTCAACGGATGCGGGACCACGAAGTCGGTTGGTGCTCCAGACGGTCCAGGGATCGTCTCGCCTCCGTTATCGGCCTACTGTGGCTGCGTTTGCATTTTTTGTTTGTTTGTCATCGACGTTTTTTTCTTTCGGTGGGTTCTATCCATACGATTGTGGTTTTACTTATGCCAAGACCACTCTGGTGCGCCAGCCAACGTCGCGTTGTTAGCTGGGTGATCGTGGTTCGACCTTGTTGGTTTTTTTTACGCTCGGTGAGCTGTACTTTAACCTACGTGCGTGAGGTTTTCCTGATTACGCTCCGATTTAAGCTCGGCCTCTCGTTTGAGATTTTTCGCTGCCGGACGTCACTGCAGCCCTCAACAGATGCGGGGATACCGAGTCCTTTCCAGACGGTCCAAGACCCAGTTGGCCCGCTCTTGCGCGCCAGAATGACGGCGCGTTCCTGCCCGTTCCCGGTCTGCACTACTTTCTGTTATCTATTTTCCTTCCTGGGTGAGTTCTACTTCAATCTACGGAAAGTGTCGGCGTTGAAAGCCGTGCGTATTGGTGTATGTGCCTGTACTGTAGACAACATTAAACCGTGGCGTGGTAAACGTCTGGAGTTGAAAATCGTTGCTCCAGCATCTGAGGCTTGTTTATTAATTCCAGAAGAGTCGTTCCTGAGTCGTCTGAGTCACCGCTGGCGCCAAGGACATGTAAGTATTAGAATTTCATTACAATGAATGCCTACTAATCAAAGTACTTGTGTGCGGGAATCTCTGTACAAGTATTTCTGAAGTTCAAATAAATGAAAGGAATATTTCGCTCGGCGCGGAGAATGCCGGTTCTTGTAATAAAATCCTGAGGTCTGGGATGGATAGCGGCTTTTGGAGGAACGGAAGAGATTTTAAAAGGAAAGCGATTTTCCGAGCAAATCATGTTTGCAGCGAACCACTCCTTACGTGCTTGAGTATTGAACGACAATCGCGATTGGAACCAGCCAAAATTCATTGAAATTTTCACCAGCGTGTAACCCTATCTAAACATCGAGCGGCGTAGTAATTTGAATCACAAAAGATGACACCACGTTTCTGTCCTCCGTGTCTCGATAATTATCCACTGAGCAAAAAGTGCAATATAAAAAGATCAGCATTATCATGAAAACAAACTTTCCATCCTTCAAAGCGAGAGAGTGATGCAATACTATCATTATAATGAATGCATTCAGATTTAGTGAGGGGTCGTGCGTTCGATCCGCGCCGAAGGCAATTCCAGTCGACTTTCCTTTTTTCTTCCATCCTAGATGGGAAATAGGAAATAGGACATGATGCTTCCTTTTTGCGTTTCTCTACAACATTAAGGCCTCCGTGGTGTAAAGGTAACACCCCTCACCTCAATTCAGTCCGTCATTTGGTTTATGTGAGGCATTGTGCGTTCGATCCGCGCCGGAGGTGTTTCAAGTCGGAGATTAAATTTTTTGAATGTTTTTCTTTGAATGTACAATAGGGTTGTTCACAGTCGCCCTTTTTGGCTCCCTTTTTCGCGCCCTTTTTTTTCCGTTTCCCGCAGAATTGCAGGTAGGACCCCGTTTTTGTACATGGGTGGGATCCAAGTGGGATCTAACAGTGTGATTTCGAGCTAGGAGGGCAAACACAAAGACTGGGCGGCGACCTCGACAACAAGAGAACATTTATTGCAGCATTTTAGAAACTCGTCCTCCTGGCTAAAAATTGGCTTTCGTAGACGATTTATACACATAGCTATAGTTTTTCGCTCGCCACGAGAGCGCACCGCGTCCTGTGTACTTCCTGCTTCTGTCCGGGTGTCAGGTCATCCCACTGCTTCTGAGAAACCACGTAAAATATAGAGTGATTTTGGTCGGGCATGATGTGGCCATGAGGATCGACGTCGCTGGATCCAGGGCCCGAGAATTGGGTAGTCTCGTTGACAGTGGGCCCTTCTACTCCTACGACGTCATCGTTAATTATACGTTATATTAGAAAGAACAATTTACGGAGGCAAGCCAGTTCCGCCAGGGGGGCTTGTTCTTCTCGTCAAGAATGTACTTGACTTCGCTGTCTTCGAAAAACGCCGGAAGAAGTTGGGTGAGTGTTAGTTTCCCGAGAGCAACTCGAAACACCAAGAGCCAAAGCTTGCGGCCTAGAATATGGATGACGTCATGTACGTCAATGACAATGTGGCGGTTCCCGCGGGCCACCCAAGTATCAACAATATTCCAAGCATCGTCGACTGGAACTATGGCGAAGATTCCGGCGGCATGATAAAGGTAGGCCACGAACAATGGAGCGGACATGGCCACGATGTCTGTGTTCTTGATAGCGTCATCCACTTCACCCTCGGTCCACCCCGTCGTGTCCGAGTCCCTGTCCTTGAGTTGAAGCATAAAATTCGTGCCAAAAAGTCGGTACTCACTCAAATAAGAGTTTGCGGCGAGTCTCTTCTGAGAACGTAGGGTCCCCCTGTGGCAGAATGAGGAGATACGACATAAGATCTATAAGAGCGTACCAGTAATGAAGCCTTGATTAAATAGACAAGTGTCTCGAGGTTAGTTTTCAGACTAGCTGCTTTTGTTTTGGTATTTTGTTGCAGCAATATTTGGCATCGGGACACGTGCGGGTTGCCCTCGCCAGTCGTTGCGAGTATATTGCGGTCCTTCTCATACATATTCTGAACCTCATGCAGTGTTTTCCACCAGTCGGCAAGCTCCTGATGCTAATAGACGGTTTGAGAACGAATTGATTATGAAAATATAGGCACAAACGCGGTCGGCAAGACGGGTGGGGGTATATCTCTGTGGTACCTCTGTTGCCAATTTGGTCGGCTGCGCGAGCCAGGCAAGCTGGTCTGCAAGTGCCAAGGACAGAAGTCCGCCCGTTATCCAACGTTGGCTCGGTGGTTTGGGTTTGCAGGGTTCTGCTGCTAAGACCTTGATCTTGAGGTAATGAAAGGTGGCGTCTGCGTCCAGCATCGATCCGCCGTTACCAGCCGTGGCGGCTTTGAGGTCGCAGGCACTGGCGTCAAAAGAGGAGACGTTTTCGAAAAAAAACTGAAGCCTTTTTACAAGGTCCTCGTCAGCCTTTGGGTCGACTAGGAATGCTAAATCTTGAGCAACGCCTTCCGCATCGAGCGAGCCGCTTTGCAGCCCCGCGTGGACCCACGGAGCAGCGGCATGGGAGAGTCGCATAGGCTGATACATGCCAGGATGGTAAAGAGACGCGGGGGACGCCGCGTGAGTTGCAGCCTGAGGCTCTGTGGACATCTCGGAGGCGGGGGTGTTGGGGAGTCAGGGCGTGGAAGGTTGGGCAGGTTGTGCAGCGAAACGACTTTTAGTGAAAGGAATGCCACTGATGGACCGAGTTTGGAAATAATGTGACACGTTACAGCATGTGATCAACTCATCGCTAAGGTTCCTTCGGCGTTTGGGTCACTTAGCGGATAATAGTGTGTATTTGCAAACCCTCACACCTAGGAACGTCGTGATGGGTGTAAAGTCGATGGTTTGTTTCGTGAGAATGACGTCTGCGTTTCCACTTCATCAATTTCTTGAAACTCGCTTTTTTGGGGGATTTCACGCTTTTTTTGACTGCAAATGCACTCTAATAGAGCTTGTTGGCACTATTGGCACAATAAGCTCTAGTATTTTGAAGGGACCGCTCGACTCGATTCAAGGAATCTAATGCAGACCAATCAGAGGGTCGACGAGGCACCGCCGGACTACACAGGTTATCATTTGCCAGGCACATACGTACTGTCATTTACGATTTCGAATTGAGCCTAAGTAAGATTAGGTTGACATACCTACCGCATCCAACCATTTTCGCCATCTCTTTCTGCCATTATTTCGATCTGGCTATTGTATAATGGAGTCGAGTACACCTGTGGGATCACCCTCTTCATAATTACAACATTTGCTGTTGATGCCCGAGGGCAAAATGTAGAGAATTTCCAGTATTGGATCTGAAGCGTCTCGTCCGCGAGCTCGTGGAGGATGGTGGGATCCAGCCGGGTAGCTTTTGCAAGACTGTCGCACTCCCGTTCCTCAACGACTTCAAAGTCGTCGGAGACAACCAACCACGAAACGTCGGGTTTGCTGCTGCGAGGGTTTTTGACGGGACTGAAGGCAGGTTTCGGCTTTGGCTTCGATTTCCGCGGAGAAGCCGACGGTGGGTGGAGAGGTGGCACCGGGGCTTGCTGGTCCTTTCTCGGACGCAATTCACGGTTCGATGGAGTGGCGACGAGGCCCGAATTCGCCTTCCTTTTCTTTTTAGGCCGCTCATCTTCCTGCTCGTTCTCCTGCTCTTCGCCCTCCGCATCCTGGGAGCCGTCCTCGGGTTTCTTCTTAAGCGACACCTCCCCGTCCGTGGGACCGTCCTTGCGCTTCTTCTCAGGCGACCGCTCCCCGTCATTGCGCTTCTCAATCTCCTCCTGCGCGTCTTTGGCCCCGTCGCCTGAGTGTGCATCGGGTCCCTGGACGTCGGCGTGTGCTGGGGTGAGTCCCGAAGGAGCGGAAGGAGGGGCAGGTGCGGGGACAGTGGGCGCAGGTGCGGTCGCTAGGGAAACAGCATGGGGTGGCCGCATGCGGAAATCAGCATCAGGAGCGACGCCGCGCAGTGAAAGCGGAAAGGGGGATTGAAGACCGACGTCGCTGGATTCACTGCCGTCCTGGTCGTTGATCATGAGTCCCGGAGGAGGATCACTGACGATGGGTGTCGGTGCGGCAGGTGGGGCAGCAGGAGGTGGCAATACGCCGAAATCAGCACTGCGAACGACGCAGAACACTGGGGAAGGGGTCGAGTCGTGACTAACGTCGACATATCGGGAGCTTGAAGCATGTTCTTCGAGCTGAGGTACTCCTTGCAAGTCATCGAAGTGATCCTCAAAACTGTAAAGATTGTAGGTCTCCCATGGTGGAAGAGGCGTAGTCGTATCGATATTCTGGACAACAGGGACCGTCCTTTCTGCAAGTCAAGGCGCATAAGCAGTGCGTTATGCTTAGACGAAACAAGTTACCGAGGCACTGCAGTTCCACAGGGCTGGGTTCATTGTCAAGAATCTGTTTCACTTGAACGTCACGAAAGTAGGTGGGCATTATTTCATTTAATGGAAGCCTCCCCAGAGCAGCTCGAAGCAAAATAAGCCAGAGTTTGTGGTCAATGGGAGTGAGACAATAGGTTTCAGTGACAATGTGGGGGTTCCCGCCGCAGAACCATGCCTCAATGAAGGGCCAAAGGTTACGACCGGCAATCGGAGTTGTCGTGAGGACTCCGCCAGAGTGGAAAATGCAGGCGGCCAGGACTGTTGCGGCCAAACTGAGAATGTCGGTGTTCTGGACAGCCCGATCCCGGTCCTCTTGGGTCCAGTCATCCGTCGCGTCCCTGTCGATGAGATGTTTAGCCAAAAATTCGTGTCAAAACCAAACCGACACTCACTCCTGTACGAGTTTGACGATGGTTTCCTCCTTGAGTTCAGGGTCCCCCTGTCGAACACTGGGGTAAAACAAAATAATCTAGTCTAGTGACGACGTACCATCAAGAAAGCCCGGAGGACGTAAACCAACGCCCTCAAGTTTGCTGCGAAAATGTCCTCATGTGACCGAGTCACACTGAGTGTCAACTCTTCACATCGCGACTTGCGCAAGGAGGACGTCTCGCCACCTGACAATGCCATGGGGTGCTGTTTGAGATATAGCCTCGCCGCGACCAGTGAATGCCACCAGTGGGCGATTTTCTTCTCCTAATACGAGGGTGAGAAGCGAATAGAATATAGGAACATGTGTACGAACCCTGTCAAGAAGAGTGGTGGACTTGAATCTGGGTGATACTTCTGGTGCCAGTTCGGTGGGCTGCGCAACCCAGGCCAGTCGGTCCGCAAGCGCCATGGGCACGAGTTTTGAGGCGATCCATGCTTGACATGCCTTGTTCGGTCTGGCGGGTGCTATGGGCAAGGTCTCGATCCCAAGGTAATGGAACGCGCTCGCAGCGGCCAGTGGTGAGTTCATTGCTTCGGCTGCAAGGTTGCAGCTCTTTGTGTCGAAGTTGCTGATATTTTGAAAGTAAACGCGAAAAAGGTTGACGAGGCCTTCATCCAGCTTCGGGTCGATTTGAAGAGCTAGGGCTCGAGAAAGGCCATCTACATCGAGCGAGCCGCGCTGCAGCCCTGCGTGGACCCATGGGGCAGATGCGCTGGAGAGTCGCTTGGGGACGTAGGGCAAGAGAGGGTGGGGTGTCGCGTATGGCGTGTCATTTGAGGCGCTCTGAAAGTCTGCGTGCACTGCAGAGTTAGGAGGCACATCGACAGTTGATTGAACTGGAACGGCATCAGGAGGTGTATATGGCGAAGCTTTGAATACGCACACTGTGCCATGTTGGGCGGGTTAGAAGCCGGTGGAGCGGTTGAGCTAGCTGTAGAAGCGGCCTGAGCTGGCTGTGGCTGC